CAATTGAAGGGGGTAAAATCCAAGGGTTTGCAGAAACTTTAAAAAACAACCATGTTGTTCACAAATACCTCGGCATTCGTTACGCTCGTGCAGAACGTTTTGAGAGACCTCGCCCTGTAAGAGAATCATGGAAAGGTGTTAAGGAGATGAAAACGTTTGGGAAAATCTGTTGGTAGACTTCTTTTAAGAAGGCCAGTCCTTTCAAAACAACAATCAAAGATATGGATGAAGATTGTTTAAACCTCAACGTGTACGTTCCTGCCGCCCCATGTGACAACAAAAGAGCTGTGATGTTTTTGGATTCATGGAGGGTCATTTTTAGTCAACCCAAACAGAATAGCTGATGGCAGATATTTGGCAACATTAGGAGATGTTATTGTTGTTGCAATCAATTATCGGCTAGATATATTGGGCTTTTTTCACTACAGACCAAGAGGCTTAAAAGGCAACTATGGCCTTTTTGACCAGCTGGAAGCCTTAAAGTGGGTGAATCGAAACATTGCAGCGTAAGTTATTTGGTATTACTGGATCAATTTCCCACACAACAAATAATCGTGACATTCTTGTCCCAGTTTTTTTTATGCATGTTAGGTTTGAAATAATTTTGGAAAACGCAGACTGTAGTGATCTAATTTCTATCTATCGCTTTTGTGTTTCAGATTAGGAGGTGATCCAAATCGGGTTACAATATTTGGTAACTCTGCTGGGGGTATTAGTGTGTCTTTTCTCTGTTTGTCACCATTGTCCCGCAACCTTTTTAAATACGCGATCATGCAGTCCGGGGTAGGAAATTCACCAATGGCCCATGAACTCTATGTAGACAATCTTAAACTGTTGAAGTGAGTGAAAAGTTTGTGGCTTGATCATCCTTACCATCGCCTCTTCTCTGTCTATCTATGAACTAGACGCCCGTGGGGCGTGAAGTCGGACTAGCTATTTTTGAAAATTGATAGACACGAGAGTGAAAAGATTATGATGTTATATTCTTTCTAATCATATGATTATATTATGAATGTAAATGAAACTTGAGAAAGACAAGAGGATATTACATAAAATATAAAAATTAGATTAATATATATATTTCTTATTTTTTCTCCAAAATAGCCGAACTCACGGTCTAATAAGGTCTAATAAGAGCGTCTAGTTCATGAAAAATATCCAAACTCTCTTGAGACTAAAATAAACTTGACCTAAAAGGTCATGTAATTAATACAAAAATGAACGTTTTAAAAGAGTCCTTGCTTTGACTGATAAAGTCAAACCTGGTATGTAGACAAGTGACGCTAAGTGATAACGTTGACCTCTCAGGCTAAGAAAATACTTTACAAAGTAAATGATACCTATAAAATCATTAAACTCGCCTTTTGTTATTGATAAAATATGGTTCTTGTTGTTCTAATTTGAAATCTTTGCCCAAACAAGACTGCCTAACCCTAGAAAGGCCATTGATTTAGTTTCTTAAGCATACTACTCGAAGCACCAAGCGATCTGCACATGCGCGTACTTATGATGCCTAGACTGATGCATTCCGATGAGATCACAGATACCACATTTGTAAACGAATAGTTTTTTTTGTCATATAAAAGAGCAAGTAGCATATAATTTACTAACGATATTCGTACATCTACACGATTGAGATCGATTGAGATTCCGGTAATGTAATAACACAGCCAACCCAATTGTTAATTATTAAATTCTTAACTTCCGGTGGTCCAAACACGACATGATACATAGATAGATTGACTAAAAGGTAAAAATAAAGTCGGGCCGCCTTCGGCTAGCCCGACTAACAAGACTCTAACTTGTCGAAATTTTAAAAATTTAACTTGAAATATTTTTAATTTGTTAATCTGAGAATCTCTATTTTCTCGAATTTTTAAATGATTAATTTTAAACTTTGTAAATGTACTAATTTGTTCTTTTCATCATGAGGGTCGTAACTCTTCAAATTTGAACGGCGGGTAAAGTCATCCGTGAAATGACCTATTGTTTAATCTTCTTACTTCGAATGTTGTACTTTATTTTACAGGC